CACGAGGACCACGACACAACACACACACACACACACACACACACACACACACACACACACACACACACACACACACACACACACACACACACACACACACACACACACACACACACACAACACATGTGCATCAACCCCAAGTCTCACCTTGGTTCCGGGAGACGAAAAGTTGTACGGAGAAGAGGCGGTTGAGCGACGGGAGCGTGAATGCATCGAGCTGACTGTTGTCGCACAGCACGCAGCAGCACACGCGCCCTGCATTGTTGTAGCGGTAGTGACGGTGGTCGTGGATTGTGAGGGGACATGGGGCAGGTGCCAGCAGCACACAGATACACGTACAGAGAGATGTACACACACACACACACACACACACACACACACACACACACACACACACACACACACACACACACACACACACACACACAAGCACTGCAGCCCTTCTTGTCATGCTGTTCCCTCTGCTTGAGACGTGTCGTTCTGACCTTCATATCTGCTGAGAAACACCTCGACGCCCGTGGCCGAGAGATCGTGCTTCGTCTTCATCGTCTTGACGTCGCGCAGGAGCAGTGCAGAAGGGATGGGGAGGTGGAATTGGGATGAGGGGGATGAGGCAGGTCAAACGCGCGAGAACAGCTGCACCACAGCAAGGACAGGAAGAACAACAATGGGAGCCACCACACGCACACACACATACGTTCTCGAGCGAACGACTCACCCCCTTATCGAAGAGGTGAACGCTCGTGGTTGTGATGACAATCAGCAGCGGTTTCCTCTGTCAACGAAGCAAATATGGAGGCTGTGAGAACAGTGGGATAAGGCAGCAGGCAACACTTACGTAGTCGAACACACACACATACACGCACGCACACACACACACACACACAAATCACACACGACTGACATCTTTCCTTCGTCGTATGCTCCGGTCCGCCACTTCATCATCGCCAGCTGTCGTCATCGTCGTCGTCGTGGTGGTGCTTGCCTTGCGACTGTTGACCTTGCTGCTGGGACGCGTGCTTCTCTTGCTGCCACTGTTGCTGTTGCTGCCGCTGTTACTGCTGGCGGTGGTGCTGTCATGAGCAGGATTGTCGGTGGCCCTCTTTGCCCCTCCACTGGCAGGTTTCGATGCAGCACTTTGTTGTTGTTGTTGTTGTTGTTGTTGTTGTTGTTGTTGTTGTTGTTGTTGTTGTTGTTGTTGTTGTTGTTGTTGTTGTTGTTGTTGTTGTTGTTGTTGTTGTTTTTCTGTGGCTGCACTCTTGTTAGCAGACGATGATGATGGCCGTGGTGGCGGCGGGCGTTGTGGCTGCAGCTTTGGTCTTGTGTCCTTTCTCTGCTGCTGCTGTTGCTGCTGATCTGTCGCTGCTGTGGTTGCGCTCACGTTCGCGTTTGCCTGGCGAATGGGCAGCAGGGTGAGAGCGAGAGTAGTGGTGTGAGTGCCACGTGAGGACATGGCGCATGCAAAGCAAACTTAAGGGATAGCGTACTCGCAGACAACTATGAATCAACAACACAAACGCGCGCGCGTGCGCGTGTGTGTGTGTTTACACCTTGAGAACGGCACGGCGGTCGACAAAAAGAGATCGCAGAACACCGAGATCCTCTTCAGGCAGCTCGTGCCGCACCTCCTGTCATCGTGTGTGTGTATGCAGGTGTATTGCGTGTTGAGGAAGGACGTGCGCAGCATACACACACACACACGCACACACACACGCCCCCTTCTACCTTGATGTGGAGACCAAGGGCCTCGAGCGCCTCCGGTGTTGAGCACTCGTTGATCTGAAGGAGAAATTCGCGGAACAGCTGCCGCCCATCACGAACGCCACTTTTACCATCATCGCCATCGTGTTGTTCCTCGTGTGCATCAGCGTCAGGTGCACGTTGCACATCAGCATCGCCGCCTTCAGCCTTCACGTCAACCACCACCACGCTGCTGTCATCATCACCATCACCATCGCCACCATCACCATCAGCAGCAATGGCAGCGCCCCGCTCTTGTTCTACTTCCTCTTCTTCTTGCGGTCTGTCACCACTGGCCCAACACCATGCCCGTCATCATCGACACCATCATCATCGGCACCGTCATCATTGGTTCGTTGCATCTGCGCCTTGAACGCGTCGACACGTCGAGTGTTGACGCCAGACGCGCCGCACTCGCACCGTCATCCTGTCAATGGGCGG